TGTCTTATTTCCTTCATAAGCCTTTGAAAATAACCCTCCTGGGTCTCTTGCCTTTTGCTCTTGGCTCTGAATGGCACTCCAGGGAGTTGGCATCTCTTATCAGAAATGAGCAGCCAGGCAAGGGGCAGCCAGCATATTGAGAGACCATAATAGTGTGTTGGTCAAGGGCAGCAGACAGGTACTGAAAGGTCTCTTGTTGTGTTAAACAAATGCTATTTCCTTCCTGCCTTAAGTGAGAGCTAATTTTTTTGTAAGCTTCTCTTTTGGCAAAAGAACAATGGGGATAAATAAGGCAACCTTTCCAGTGAGAGATATGCATTAGATTATCATAAATCCACAGATCAAAAGTACCGTGGTCAATGAGAACAGGCGTTGTAAGATTAAATAAAAGAACTAATTGAAAGTGGTGTCCCAGGGTAGACAGAGGATTGACACAATATTGAGTAGATATAACCAGGGACTAAGTAGAAAGGGAAAGAAAACAATGCAGAGTGCTTTTTTCAAAGGTTACAATTCTGTTTGTGCGGGTGACTGAGCAGGTTTTGTGTGCTGTGGGAATAAGAGAAAGCTATAAGTATTTTATTACTGTTTAAAATACTGAGAATTTGTTGGTGAAAATTATATACAAGTAAAATTTTAGGTTGTTGTAAGTCTTTTATTATAGGCTTTTAATTAAGAAATCGGAGACTTGAGGTATAGACGTGCATCTAAAAATTAAGTAAAATCATTGGCAGAATGTCAATTAATTGCACATATCCTGAGGCCCATGAATTAAGACTGAATAAATTCAGTCTGCATTTCTTAATGTTATTTAGCACATATCTTTAGGGCTTTCTGCTCCCAAATCTAGTGACCTCTGTATTCTTTCACCTTCATACAAACTCTTCCGAACTTTTTTGTCTGGTTTGTGATGATTCAGTAAATGTGAGAATTCATTTTACTGGAGTACCATGCAGTTATCTCAGTAGATGAAAATATTCCTGTCCTGATTTTCCTTGTGAGGAATGGTGCCTGTTCAGTTGTTTGCTCCATTCTGTTTAACAGCTGATTCTGAACAGCAAGCAGACAGACTGCCTCTTTGACTTCTGATTACTGCATTTGGTCCAGGAGAAACCACCTAGAAAAAGAGAGGAGACTGTCTTCTGCAAGTAGCTGAAAGAGCTCAGGAACTATCTGGGTAGGATGCTGGATGGTGCAACCAGGAGGGAGCTGGGAGCTTTGCAGCAGGAGCTGCAGCTCGCAGACCCCTATAAATAGTACGGAACAAACATCACTAAGTTGCAGAGGTGACTGGGAAGGGAAACATGCATATCTAGAGGGGACTGTTCAGAGCTTGTTGCAGCTGAGGAAGCCACTGAAAGATTACAGGCTAAGATGTATTAAAGCTTGAAGGAGGCACCTACCCAACAAGGACAAAGCGAGCAGCAGCAAGGACGGAATGAGCAGTGGAGACTGATTATTCCAATGTTTGGTGGGGTTTTGTGAGGAGGGTTTGGTTTTGTGTGTGTGTAGGTTAGCTCCTGTGGGGGGGGGGCCGGGCTGGTTCTGTTTTGGCTTGTGTTTTTCTTTTCCTTTTTAAATATGTTTTATTAATACTTAAAAGTCTCCAGTGTACCCATCTTAAAGTAAAAGTACAGGCCAGGCCACCTCAAAGCTCTGACCATATTGAAGCCTTATCACTGGGCTGTCTGGATTTTGATTTATGCCAAAATTTCTTGTTCATCAAAGCACCACTGAGTTACTTACCTATGTCTGTAGCAGGGAATAACTTCAGTAATATACTGTCATTTAATTCCTGAAGTGCTGAAATGTGATACATTTGTCATGGAAAATACACGATGTGATTGTTGACTGGGTAATTTACAACATTAAACTTAAGTGTTTCCTGGGCTAGAAACATATTTGTGTTGTAACTCCTTTCATTCATTCTATGTTTGAGTTAATTCAGATTCTAGGGCAAACTTGAGATAAGAAATATTTCTAATAGAATTCAAGCATTAGTGCATTGAAGAGGACTTCCCTTTACCACACAATAATTGAGCTGATGATGGTTGCTCTGTTGTAAAGTATTGATGTCTTGGGATAATGTTTTAGCAAAGTCAGGGAAATAGAGGCAGTAGCAGCATTTAATATTCATACCTTCATATTCTAGGAACAGGGACCATCATTCATGAAATTAGTTGCCCAAATGAAGTAGTTAATTGATGAGCTGTTAACTTAAGGATGGCTGGAGCTCTTTTGGCTATCAGTAAAAATGAATTTCTTGGGAAGAGCACTATCATCAGGATAATAATTTGAGACCATTTAGCAAGTATAGGATGAAATCAAGCTTTTCTAGATTCTGTTCATTCCCTTTTATTTCTCATCTGGTTTTTCCTCCTTTCTACTGCTTCTCCCATAAAGACAAGTTTTCAGTCTTGTATTTGCACCAGGGAGTCTTGATGTTGTAGACTGACTACCAGGCATTTGCTATCAGATGCCATGCAATGAGTAGCAAATGAAAATGTTAAGGGGGATAAAGACAGTTTACTTGGTCTCATAATGAATTCATCAAGGATTTGCAGATGTGCATCTCCTTTCCTGTTACCCGTCCCTGTGAAATCATTGGAATGTCATTCACCTCCTTCATGGGTAACAAATTATTTTAAGTACTATTCAGCATTATTCTTAAATCAAATTAAGATCTTATGCTAATGTTGAATATAATGAAAAAGAGAGTCTTTTAGGATAATTGGACTATGTTGAACTAGATGTATGTCCTGTGACATCCTGTGACATAAGCCCCCTCACTGTGACATCCTGTGACATAAGCCCCCTCACTGCTTTTCTTGTAGTACTGGAAAAGACAAAACCACAATACTGACATACAGAAGGGGCAAGAGTCTGGTGCAGGTGTCATGGATTAAAGTAGAAAAATAGCAGCAGCACACAGGAACTGCTTGCTTCGGGCACCAGGGAAGTAATACAAACGAGACTGTCCTGAAGGGCTGCACGGGACATCACATGCTGGCGACACTGAGAAAAATGCCTGTCCAAATCTGGACAGGATGTTCCATTTGAGTAGAGTTATTATCTAAGAGTTGTGAATTGGCTGGCAAGTATATGTGTGTTTTGAAAAATAGAAGATGGGGCAGAAAATCTTTCTTCTAAAACCTTAAGTGCAAAATGCTGTTGTTAGAAGGCCAGTAAATAGTGAGGCTTTTTCCTTACACTGATTCTTTTGAAGGAAGTTGGAGCAGGATTGTTTACAAATTATCATTCCGTATTGTTCACAGTAGTTATGAATTTGTAGGTTTTGGGGAGTTATGTTCAGGATGTCTCAATATCCACAGCTAAGAAATGAAAGTGACAGATCTGTAACTGAGAATTGTGTACTGGTCAATGAAGACAAAAGCACAAATGAGTAACAGATACTAGAGACAAGTGCTGGCATCAAGACAATTGTCAGTGTTGGTGCTATGTCATTTTTATATTTCACAGTTAGGCAAATTGTGTTGACTTAATATCACGCAGTTACATTCCAGGAAGAATGTGAGCATGGTGTGTATTGGGATTGAGGTTTATAGTCCTAGCACTCTGGCTCATGCAATTCCTCTAGCCAGTGGCTGCTTCTCATCAGTGAAAGGGCATCTGAAATAAATTAAAGTTCACTTAGTGCTTGCTTCATTTGTTGCCTCAGGACAGTAATTTCTGCTCTTGGTTCAGAATTTCTTTTTAGTCAGACCAGATAATAGATGAATATAGGGGACTACTCTCGCTGCTGCTAAAATACCTGTACTGCTGGTGCCTTTGCTGACAATTGCATTGATACTGTATGTACTGCAGCTTAGGCTCTGTAAACAATGCTTCATTAGGTAAAAGGAGGATTGGCCCAGCTACTTCACTCCTCCTTGTGTGTGGCCTCTACTTGATAATTTAACATAAGACTTTGACACGCTTGCAAGCAACCCCCAGTCATCTTTTTCAACTTGTACTTCCCTGTATTTCCTTTTCATGTTGTTTTTTCCTATTAATTTTTTAACACTCCTGTTACAAAGAACAAAAAATATCCAAGTGACAAGAAGCATAAACTAATGAATTGTCTTCGATTTATATGGACAAGGAAGAGTGCAGTAAAATTGGGTGTGATGCATAAGGTTTTTTTCAAGTAATGCCTTCCATGAGCACTTTATAGTAGGTCTCCTGTCCTAGTTTTTTCTCTAGAGTGCCAGTATGAATATTTCAGGCAAGAATATGATTTTGTTTATTTTCACTATTCTAACTTGCTTTAAAAAAACAGAACAGGCAAACCTCCACCCCCTCAACCACATACAACCCTACAAAACTGCACATACAGTGTACAGTAAGAGAAAGTCCTTTCTTGGATACTTGGATACTTGACTTGGCACTCTTGTAAACAGCAATCTAATCTAGGCAAAATTCTGGGATTGACCTGTACCAGGAGGAAAAAAATCCCTAAGAAACCTCTATGGATTAAAAGTCTGTACAAAGGGAGTTAGTGCAGAATAAGTTACTGCGTTTTCATTTCTCACCCTTGCTTTTGTTGCACCAACTTCCCCCTGTAGACAGGTTGAAGGGAAGGATAATTTTTTTAAGGATGAATCTCAATTTTCAGAAGGGAATGGGATTTAACAGTACAACTCTTGTAACAGTTTGTGAGCTGCATGTAAAGATGTTGAGATTTTTATGGCTTACATTTTTAATGCAGCTGTGTTTAAAGTAAATATCTTTTCTATATTCTGCTGCATCAGTTTCATATCATGTGGAACTAAGCTATTTTACCTTCTATTTATGCATATTTGTGGGTATCATTAAAAATAACATTTTAAGCCATGTCGTGACAAAATGTCAGCTAAATGTACTGTTCGTTATAAGGCTATTTCTTCAAGCTACTTTCTGGAAAAGAGGACTGCTTCTTATCTTAGGAACCTATGGATACAACTCATCCATTGTCTCTGTCCCCTTTTCACCCATATTTTCACCCTTGTTTTCTCCAACAGAAAGGAGAACCAAACTGCAGTATTCTTTCTCCAGAAACCACAGAGCAGTTGACCTTTGAGATTCCTCTGAATGATTCTGGATCTGCTGGACTTGGTGTGAGCTTAAAAGGCAACAAATCTCGGGAGACTGGAGCTGATCTTGGGATTTTCATTAAATCAATTATTCACGGAGGTGCTGCTTTTAAGGTATGGAAGAAACCCATCAGATGGTGATTGCATTAAATTTCTGATGTTTCTATGATAAGTACTGAATGTCGCTAAATTCTAGGAGGTAATAACTTTTTTTCACTCATTCCTTTAGGTGAACTGTAAATCTACTGATTTGTCCAAAGATTCTGGTGGTGTGCATGGTAGGGTTTGCCCCAAGCAAAGGGAATTGGTGGAAATTTTGGGGGGCATTCGGGTGCTCTAGGAAATGGGGAAAAGGGTGAAGGATGAGGGGATGAGGAAAGGCTGCCTCCCAGCTTCCCCACAGCTTACAGAGGCACATGGGAAAACTTGCATACTGTTAGCCTCTATGGCAGATACCTACATTTATTGTCTGTCTGCGGTGATTTTAGTCCTCCCAAAGTGATACAGGCAAACCTATAAAAAACAATCAAAAGATAAACTTCTCACAAAAAAAGTAGAAATTGACAATTCTGTGAGGTTAAGGAACATGAGTTTAATTTATGCTGTAAATTAAAAGCTAGCTCGTCATTTTCTTTCTTTTTTTATTCCAAATATTTTTTACCACTGTAATAAAAATGTGACTTGGCTAAGCCTGCCATAAGTTATGCAGGTTACCAGTTGTTCCTGAGGTGGATTGAATTGGTAATATTAAATCAGTAAATGAAAGTGTTTGAATTGTTGTGCTCCCTCTAAGGACCATATAAGGACTGCTGGGCATTTTTATGATTTTAAAAGTATTTGAGTTATTTTCTAATCTTTAGGAAAAACTGTTGACTGCGGGTTTTTTCCCTAATAAAACTTGGAAAAGGGAACTTTCTTGAAATTAGAAAAGAGTGTTAATCTTGCAGAGCTAGTATGTTTAACTTTTGTGGATCCATAAGGTAATTTTTTTTCTCTTGTGTTATCTCAGCAATTCCTCACTTTTCTCTTTTCTGTAAAAATACCTTTTAATTCATTGTATGTAAATTCCTCTACTGACATCAGCCTGCTGAGTAAGACAGTTCACAGCATTAAAACTTTCATAATCATCTATTTACAGCAGCTAGTAAATAGCAGTAATCAAGATTTAGCTTTGATGTAACTGTTTAATATTTCCCTGCTTCTATTATTTACCTGTCCTAGTCCCACTGTTATTTCAAAGCTCAGATCTTCTCAAGTATGCAGTACAGAATACTGACTGTGGTTACCTCAGGGCTTAAAATACAACTGAAATAAGCTCATCTACTTGTTGTGTATCAGAAATGAGTTAGGGAGTGACTGGACAAATTAGGGCTGGATAAACTCAATTTATGTGCATGTCTTCTATGAACTGCAACTCATTTTACTGTCAAAATGTGGCTTGCTTTCCCAGGTTTGTGTTTCCTGAGTGATTGTCCACAGTAGGTGCTATGACAGTCTGTATTGGCACAGATAAACTCAGTGTTTTGAATAGCAAGTCTTGTGGAGCCATATTCTGACAGCACGAGTGGGCTGCCTTCCTGTCTTGTCACATCATAGACATATAAAACAACTTTTTCTAGTTCTGTATGGTTACCATTCTCTGTTCTTCCATAGTTACTTCAAAGCTTGGCTTGAGGGGTCTGCATACTAACAAAGCAAGTTTTCTGTGCTCACACCAAAGTAAACAGGCAACTGGCATAGATAGTCACCATGGCCAGAAGATCATTTTGTCTCATGATAACCTGTGGTCCTGTGACCTGTTCTCTGATCTACCTTGTTATAACCCTTTCACCTATTACAGCTGTGTAGCAATTGATCTGAATGTAGGCTCCAGAGCAGATGAGGTAGTAGCTGAGGCTCTAGCTTCATGCAGAACTGTTGAGAGAATCTTTCTGATGTGTTTTTTTTTTATAAGTACTCACAGGATGCAGTCATTCTGGCAGTGTCTTAAGAACCACAGTTAACTGTTGCGTATGGATGGAGAACAGCTGTCTTTCTCCTGTCTAATGACCTTTATATAGAACTTAATCAGTGGCTATTAACAACTAATAAAATTTCTTGTATCAAGTTAAAAAATGTGCACATTTTTGTGTGTAAATATTTAAAGATGTCCTTACTGTCCTTACTGTCCTTATTTTAAATATGTTCTTCTAGCAAGTTGGTTTTTTTTTAAAAAGCCTTTCTTTCCAGCTGGTAGCTGTCCAGAACATATTCCCATGCTAGTCATTGTAACTCTGAAACAGGGTATTATGGATTTAGACATGTGCATTTGCTTTTCGATGTACATAGTTTTCTTGGGAAACTATCACAGGAGGAAATCATAATGGTCACTGACATGAGAATTCTCTCACTTTTTCTTACTTCTGCATTTAGAGTTTGCTGATGGAACCATTATGTCCCTTTTTAACCTCCTTTTGCAGCTTTGAAGTGTCTATATTTTTTATCATTCCTAAGATAAAGAGATTACTAGAATACTTGATATTTATAATTATTCGGAGCCTTTCATGTGAAAAAACAAACATTTGACTGAGTTTAAATGCATCATCTCTCTCCCATAACTTTAGGGATTTCAGCTTTCACATTCATCTTGAGACATCTTGGCTTTTCACTTGTGATGCATTCCTGATGATGAGGTATTTGCTGCCTACTGCAGCTGAAATGCAGCAGAGCATTTATTAGAAAAAAAACAATGGAGTATTTTATATGTGTGTGTTTGTTCAAATCAGACAAGGTGTAGCTTGAACCTCCTTGAGGCTTTTGAGGGCTGTTGCTTGTTGCATGCAGTGTGTGGGGAACTGGATGATTCCAGTAAATGCCATCAAGGAAATTCTTCGAAGAGAAATGTCACTGATGTGATAAGGGAAATAACTAGGTGTGCTTCGATTAAAAACAAAACTCCACAAGGAATATGGCATTATATCTCCCTGCTCTGCTGTAAAAAGTGAGAGTCTTGTGACTGACTGCCTGAATATGATAGCCATGGGGTGTATGGTTCTACCCATTGCTGTGAGTCTCCATTAAAATAATAGTTTTTAATGAGCAAGGGGAACAGTAACTTCACCCTTTAATAGATTAGCTCACTTGCTGTGTCAGAGATGGCATTTGAAAACTATTTTGCTGAAGTGCCAAATACTGTTTTTCTACTTGGAAGCCACAAAGAAACCTACCTTTCGGAGATGAAAGTTAAAAACGTGTTAAAACAACATTTACTTTGTTTTAAGCCAAGTGGATTGTCTTGCAGTTCAGGCTTCTAAACCAGCCCATAACACCAGTGATGTGAAAATCTATGAATGGAAACTGTGAGACACTGGGTTTATTTTTTTTTTCTTTTCAATTTTTAATATATCAGAAGTTTTTTTCTGTGAAATAACTTCTACCTGAGCATGTGTGAAAAGTGTTCAGCTGTCTTCTAACCTACCTTGTGCAGGTGACTTGGCAAGTGTAGTTGATCAGCACTTATAAAGCATGCATCCTTTTTTTTTTCCTCAGATCATAGCTGGAGTGTTGAATTCCAGTTGAATTTTGTATTAAAATGGAGCATATAACAGAGTGGGAAGAAGGGAGATGCATCTAAAGAAGTTCTTTAAGAACTGACATTATTAAAATATAAATAAATACAAAGTACCATACAAAAGTATTCAAAGGCAAATATTAGGCCAGTTCTGAGCTTTCTGAGGCTGCAGTGATTCATTTAAAAACACACATTGTGTTCAGGACAGTTGCATAGTCAATAGAGGTAGTCATGACAAGACGCATTTGACATTGTATTTGTATATACTTTAGTAAGAAGCTTTAATGTATGTTCATACATGGGTGTTCATCCACAGAAAGAAAAAATAGTAATCCAATAACCTGTGGGACCATAGGAGGACATGAGGACCTGTAAAATTTTGAAAGCCTTACAGAAACTCACAAAGAATAAATTCTTTTTTCCTTACACTCCTGTTGCCATGAATGGCTCCATTCATTTCAGCAAATTTTGATAGAACACAAAGGAATTGCAACATGTGCAAATAATAAAACTCCCTGTTCAACAATGTTAACTCTTCTCTCCTAAAACTTTAGCATGTGTGATGGCATCATTTTGTATGTAGAGAAAGGGTGAGGTTAACCTATTGACTTTGGCTGTGTGTAAATTTAAGTTGGCATGAAATGTTCAACAAAGAGTTTGGAGAGGTTTCAGTATCTTTTCCAAATGGCATTGCAGTTTCCTATGCTCTATTCCCATACCCTCCTGAGAAAAGTTTTATTTCTCTTCATTTTCCTTCGCATACTGACTCATCTTCCAGTTCTGTCTTCCCATCTTCTTGTACCTCTCAGTTCATTTTGGATTTTAGTATATGCTATTCTTCTTCAGCTCTGTGACTATTCATACTCCGCCATAATAATGATGATATCCAGTTCCAACAAAAATATCACTTACTAAAGCTGAGTTTTTCACTGCTGCTGTAACTTACTTGAGCACCAGTGACTTAGACTTGGCAGCAATAGCAGAAGAGTTAATTGAACATCTTAGTGATAGAAAAAATAAAAATCAAAAAGTATATGTGGTTTTGATTACTTAAATGCATGAAATATGTACATAGTTCAAAAAAATACTGTATGAAGAGTATGTAGTGGGCCTATGAATGAATCAGATTCATTTTAACTAAGGAGTGTTTTTCTGTCTAAGTTCTTTCGCTGACATTCTTTCTTTACTGCCCTTCTATACTGTATGTCTCCAGTTTATTGCTCTTTCTCTTCCTTTGAAGAATGATGGCAACCTGATAATTGTGAACTTGTCTAGCTTAAAAAGAAATTCTTGTCTCTTAATTAAATAGACCTTATCCTCTTTTTAAAGAGAGAAAAGTCCATGGCACATGTTTTTATGAAAAGAAATAAATCACAGATAATAATGGCAACAGCGCTAGGACTCTTAAGTCACAAAATAGCAGTGTCCACGATTTTATTACACCCACAAATGTTGGTTAACCTTGGCCATGAAACTGAATGACTTTTCTTTCAAAGCATAGGCTACCTGATATGGCTCAACCCCAATTTTGTTATTGACAGCAGGTTTAGATGTTAAAATACTTGGATGGCATTAATTAAAATAAGGATGCTTAAGCCTTAACCATTCTGAACTGAGAACACTACCCCGTATGGTGTCATGGTAATTGTGATAAGATAGACACTAGTGAGACTATAACACAAAATTTTTGGAGCTGTTTCTTGCCAGACCCTAATAGCAGATAATAATGCATGGAAAATAACACTGCAGTATTCCTTTGTGTTTGCACTGCAGATACTAACAGCTATCATGTGGGTCCTTTTAACTAACCAAATGCTTCTTTTCCTGTTTTATTTTTAGAACTGATACGAATTAAATTGTATATGCAAGAAAAACAGCATTGTGTGCATGCACTTCTGTGTTTGCAATTGCCCTAGGAACTCTTCTCAAAGTAGAGTAGAAGGAGGGGGAAAAAAAGGCCGATTAATGGCCACAGATTTCTCTGGTACTATGCAGTCTCTTGTTTCTTAAATTTTAGAAAGTAATATCTGATTGCCTGTATGTTGCTTTCCTGTATGTAGCATTTCTGCCTAGTAATATTTTTTTTTAATCTTTTGGTTTTATTTTTTGCTTGTAGGATGGTCGTTTGCGAGTAAATGATCAGCTTGTTGCAGTAAATGGGGAGTCTCTTCTGGGCAAGTCAAATCACGAGGCTATGGAAACACTGAGGCGCTCCATGTCCATGGAGGGGAACATTCGCGGGAGGATCCAGCTGGTAGTTCTCAGGAGACTAGAGGTGCAGACAGAGGTGAAGCAATAAATACATTTATTAGATGAATGTCCTTCTGGTCCCAGTGTTTCTTCATACAAGAGATATGGTGGCTGAAGTATGGGTCACACAGAGACCTGGCAGAATGAATTCTTGATTTCCTGGAGTGTTTCTTGTTGATATCTCCTGGTCTTGCTGTTTCTGTTGAGACCAGGCTAAAAGTTGCCTGTTATTTCTCTGTGTGTGTGTGTGTGTGTGTGTGTGTGTGTGTGTGTGTGTGTGTTCTGGTTCTGTCCCCCACCTTCTTTCTTTTTTCTTTTTCTTTCCTTTTAACCATCAAGGAATTAATATCTTACTTTCCCTGGTAAGTTAAAACTACCCCTTCAGGATGGGTTTCTGAATTGATTACCATAAAAATTGCTTAAGTAAGGTAACAAAATAAGAGAAAGAAATTTTAATGGTTCTGTTTTCTAGACCTCATGGAAATGTGCACACTCTTCATCTCACATAGATGTAGGTATATATAGTGGCTGCCCCACTCCAGTTTTACTGTTGACCCTAGAGTAAAATTTTAATATTTTTTTAACATCTGTGCAGTTCCTTAAAATAAAAATACATGAGTGCATTTGGGATATTAAAAGGTTGTAATAAATCCCTTTATAGAATTCCAAGAGATGATTTCAAGATTCTTACTTAAACATTGCTTGAACATTTTAAGATATTAAGAACAATCATGTTTGTGGGTGCATTTGTATAAAATATCAGACAGGAAAAAAGAATGCAGGTCTATTTTAGTATCATTAACTTTTAATATTTTCTTGGTAATTTCCTGTTTGATTTACTACCATCATTGATTGACTGAGAAATAGATCTAGAAGTATATTACTTGCCAGACTTTGGGAGGACACTCTGCAAGAGCTTCACGGATGTCAGTTGTGCCAGGGAAATATGAGAAATTCTCATTAAGAATTTTGGAATGTGTTAGAGGATTTTTGCTTTCCTTTTGCATGAGACATAGCATTATGCTATAAGAAAAATTAGGAAGTGTATGTTGTATTTCTTGTGCACTCATGTGACATAAGAAAGATAGCTCACCTTCAAATAAAGCTCACTCCTGCAAGTTTTCTTCATTTAACAAAAGCCAAACTTTAGAAGAGAAAAACTTGAACTCAGACATCAGGTTGACCTTATAAAGGTGCGAGACTGCTTTTTATAGTCAAGTGTATAGTTTTGTATATTATCCAGATATATGAAAGTGGTAAATAATCTTGACTCATGCCTATAAAAAATGCATAATGAAGTCTTGGTTGAATAGAATTCATTTAATTTTTATAGGGTAGTCTTTAGGTTCAATTTTAATTCCATTTGAGCCTGGAGACCGTAGCAGAAATGGGTTGTTGCCCATTCTTCCCTTTCCCCAAAACAGCTTCCTGAGTACTGCATCTCAGCTTGGTAGAAGTATATGTTTAGAAATGCATTATTGTTTTTATTGGTCAGGACACTAATGGAGGCCTTCCATGACAGATATGTTTTATAAGCTGAACACTTTAATTAGGCTGGTTACTGATCAGTTGTTAGTATATTGATTGTCATTTATTAAAGAGCTGGAAAAGCAGATTTGTTGTTGATGATAATTTAAGGCCCTCTATCCCACTGGGTACAAGTCTCCAGTGTAGTAGTGGTTGGGATATTGCAAGGCTTAATTTAGGTACCAGTATCTTATGTAAACTAAAGAATTTCCAGTAGCGAGAAGAAACATAATTGTCAGTGGCTGTGTGGTGTGTGTGTTTCCGTACAGAGGTTCAAAATAGTTATTTCAAATACCTCATGCTGCACTGAAAAGGAGGAAAACATGTAGTATGTGCTCTGTCCACTAGGACTACATTTGTAACTGGATTGTCAACAGGCGCATTCCAGCATTGATTTGTGTTCCGAGTTGCATTTTTTGCCATTTTATTATTAATTTTAATTGTTATTAGCCCATTATTATTGTTGTTACTGTTGTTGTTATTATTACTATTATTCATCTTGAAAGGCAGGTTGCAAGGTGATGTAACATACTGTCCTTATGCATTGGTTTGCAGGCTGTCACTTGCAAATGGATTAAATCCTTTGTATCATTTTACAAGGAAATTTTAAGGGTTAGATACATGCATTTCTTTTGGAGATGTGACTATATGAGATGTAAGGAATGGTATATTTAGCATAACATTTGCTGGCGTAATGAACATGCAGTTTAAAAATAGAAGACAGTTGGAGGCCCCTTTAAAAAGCAGATACAAAATCACAGAAACTATAAAGGTTATTTTGAAAACTATCCACAGTAGTCCCCTCTGTGGGCTTTTTGTATTTCCTGAATAACAAGTACAGAAACATCTTTCTGGGTCTGTCCCAGTTTTAGAATCTGTGATTTATTCCCCCCCCTTTTTTCTTTTGAGCGACTGCTCAGGAGAATAAATTAGGCGATATGGCATGTATGGGGGGTGGGAAATATCTCGAAAGAAAAGCTGACTAGAGGTGTGACAGGAGTTTGTTTAGCTGCTAGCCAGAAGACCTGCGTTTGGGAGTTTGGTGTAACTTTACTTGCAAAACTGCTCTAGTGTGTGATCATCGGAACATATGCACCCAGTCTCTGAGAGAAGGGAACCAGCTGGCTGGCAGAAAAATACCATTGGCATTGCCCATGTTCTTGTGTTGACAATGTCACAAGCTGCCCTCCCAGATGGAGAATTTGAATGAAGCCAGTTGTGGGTCATAAAAAAAAACAAACCAGTCTTCATTTTTGCGCATCATCCTTAATAATTGTTATAGCTTAGATATTGTCTGATTTCATGGTCAGCAAAACAGTAATTTTGAAGATATCTTTCAAGTTCTCATTTGAAAGGAATCAATGTACAGTGAACACGTTGCATTACAGTGTGTTCCTGCACTCTGTAGTGATGGCTGATCTTCTGCATTGTTGAACATTTAGGTATTTTTGTTACAGTGTGTGGTTCTGTTTTTCCCTTAGGAACGCTCAGACCAGGGAGTCTTTCAAAAATCAGCCTTTGATGGGAGTCATAACTTCACAGCTGTTTCCCGACGCAATGATGCTATTCTTCAGCCGTTTGTAACGTGCAGTCCTCAGGAAAGAATAAAAGGTAGCGCCTATATACCCTTCTCTGTGCTAAAAGAAAGTGCTTTGTGGTTTTGGTTTTTGAAATCCACAGCCTCTATAATAGCAGTTAATTAGGGTAAGTGCACACTATGTTACTTTGAGGCTTGAAGATCCAGTGAGGGTGGGAGAGCTGACTCAGAAGTTGTGAATTAGATTCCTGGCACAAATTCCAGTTTAAGTAACAGTTTCTAGCTCGTTGCCCCAACACGTAAGGTTGGATAAAAAACAAGTGATGAGTGCAAAATATATGTTGTCAAAATGTTTATTTTCTATATAACTTTAATGAGTGCACTGATTTTTGCATTGAATTCTTAGATTACGTCCCAGGTTATTATAAGCTAAATGAATTTATACAAAGGTGTGATGATCATAAGGTAGACTTGCTTATTTTAGACTTAAGGTAAAATTTGTTCAAAGGTTAAAAACATTTCCTTAATCTACAAATTGGAATTATATTAATGAACTCATTAAAAAAAATTAGGTAGATGTGTACATTGCGTTTGCTCGTACATGCAGGTTTTCTTTGTACAAACATATAAATAAGATCTTTTTATACCACTTATTTTTCTGTCATCTTTCGTTTCTGATGGCATTCTGTACTATCTGTCCAATTTGCACCTGACTCAGCAAGGTACTGGTTATCTGAAAAGTCAAGTATTTGAGATGGTCTTGACCCCTTTCCTTTTAAGTGTGCTGTTATCCTTCAAGCCAAGCACATACTTAAATACCTTCCAGTAAGAAAAAAAAATATTCTCTTTGATGTAGTTGAATTATGCATGATTTTTCCCACTTCTCGAGACAACTGTGGAATCTGGGTGGCCTGCAAAAAGTAATTCCATAGGCTGCTGTGATGAGCATTTTAACCAAAACCAAAGAGCCTGCACCAGTAAAGCTCAAGAGAAACTCCTGTGTAATTTAGGGGTAAATAATTGTGTTGACTTTGATATTTTTGACAGTGTGACTCCAGGCAAAGAACTAGATACAGGCTCAAACATTGTAAATATCCAAAGATCAGATCATTCTGTTTAGATCTATTTTATGTTTCTTTTATATGGAATTTATATTGGTTCTGTAGTTAGAGGAGAAAAGGGTCATACTCAGAGCTAGCCTGCCCTGTAGAGTCAGTCATTGCCAAAGGATCAAAACGCAGCAAACACCTTTAAATACTTCCTTAAAAAACATATATACAACTGCTCTGGAGCCATTGATATAGGTGAATGGCAACAGGTAACCTGTCAAATAAAATTCACAACAAAAGACATGAAAGAGCTGTACATTCAGATAACTATTCTCCAACTGCAGTCCAAAAATCAGGATGACTGCTTTACAGCTCGTTTGTAAAATCATTTTCAGTAGACATATTTTTAATTAAAAAAGGATGGTAAGTTGGCATTATCGCAAAAAACTGTGATGGCCTCAGAAGAGAATGTGTGTTGGATGTGGAAAGGATGCTCTGGAGTGCTGCTGAGGGCTATTGTTAGGGAGGATTGAGCTAAAACTCATTCTGCTTTCCATATGAGCGTGTCACTTATTTCCAGTTGCTGGTTCAAATATTTTTTTGCATTGTTTCTTATTATCTTATCCTCAGGCTTTCAAGGCACCTGTAAAGACAAAACGCTATGCCTTGTGCACTACCCTCATTCAACTCAGTTATGAACTTTGGGTTGTGTCCCTGTTTAAGGATGTGAGTCACAGTTGTAATGAGCCTTTTTATGACAGGCAGGAGCAGTCACTTGTACATTCTTACGATGTATTATCCAGATCTTGTATGTAGAAGTATGGTTGGTATTTTTTTACAACGAATAACAAAGGTAGAAGAGTTTTTTAACATAATACAGGATCTAATATAAGAATTTAATGACAGGAGCTGTATTATATTTATAAAATGTCACTTTCTCAATTAATTTTTTCTAGTAAGTTGTTTCCAGTATCATTTACTACTCCTACAAATAAAATTCTTTATAAAAAAGCTCAGCAAAAACACACTGAAGCTTGGCCTGCTAATATTGCTGTCTGTTTTAAGAGTCTTTTTTATTATACATGAGCAAGAACAAATGTCTGGGGAAAAGTGCTTATAGCCAAAACATTACATTTTGTCTTGCCTGTGGATATTTAAATAAAGGGGGAGGGGATACTGATCCAATATTGAAATGCCAGTGTTTGTTCTATTTTTGCATGAATAATACTTGCTGCCTTCAGGTCCTCACTTCTTTTGCTGCCAAGCTGTTGCACAGATTCAGTGTTTTTTAGAACAACCTCTTTGAGAATTGATACTTCAGTGCCAACAGCTTTACGTTTCTGGTGTTGAAAGATTACTGGAATGTGTTTCATTAGAAGTTCTTACATATCTCTTATAACCCTACATTATAAATGGTTATAGGGGAAATGCTGTCACGTCTCTGGTTAAGTAGTAGAATAATCATGAGCTTCCTCTATTACCATAGATTGCCAAGTCTTCATAGTTGTGCAGGCATCTTTGTTTTCATACATGTGTGGCAATGCCAAGATTAGAAAATTAAGAAGTGAAATTTAAAATTAATGTTTAAATTTTGCTTGTAAACATTACATTATTTTATACAGAGATTCAGTTAGTTACTACCCAAAACTGTTTAATCTAAAAATTCGGTACATTTTGTTTAGTAGTTTAGCTGTTTCTCTGATCTCTGGATCTGTTACGGTAATTTCCTAAGGCCTTGAACATGGAGCCTCTTAGGTTAAATTCGCTCTTCTCCTGCTCCCATTCTGCTGGAAGCTGTAGTCCTTGTGATCACTTTCATTTCACTCAGGAAGTCCAACATTCTTCTGTGTGTAACATTTGTGTTCTGCAAGAAAAATGCCAGTGGTAACCCATCACCAAACAGCCTTTATGAAATGATGTATCAGTTGCTGTGAATCGAAGTGTGTATAACTATGTGATACACTCAATCTCTTGCTATGGCTATCGGAGGCTGCTCAGAGAGGGTAAGGCACAGGTGTATAGTGCAGTGTGATGTATGATTATTTTTTTTCTATTTCCTCTTCTCCTTCCACCAGGCATGTTTCCTACCCTGGGTAGTCAGTGGTTTAGGGACTTCCTAAATCCGAGGTTCTGTCTGGACCATTGTGCCATTAATAGCTCTCCAAATTTCATTCGATTTCTTAATATTTTTTAAAAACTTGGTTTCCAAAACTCCCTCATGGCAATCTGTTGCATGATTTAATTATATAGGAAAAAATACTACTTTGTGTATGTCCTTTCTATTTGATGTTTTCACTGGGTGCCTTCTGGTTACTGTGTTACCATGTTACATTCTTAGTGAGAGCATCCGTTTCACCTTTTGCATAGCTTTTACAATTTCATAGACTCTTCTTGTATCCCCTTTTGTTGCTTCTTACTCTAATTCAAAGAATCCTAGTCCATGTTCCTTGTTTCTACATGTGTCCAACTGCCCTTGACACCTTTTCAGTGAATTTCTGAATTATGTTACGTCCTTTTTCAGATAGGAAAATGAAACCTTGGATGCTGTTTAAAAACGAGGCACACCTTTAACCCTGAGTTCTGCATGGGGCATTCAGACTCTTCTCTAAATGCCTATTTCCTTTTGACTTCACTAAGTATATATTCAAAGAACGATCCCATGCACTTCTAATGTACTGTTCCAGAGTGGAAATCACTAAAAGTAATAGCCTTTGTGTATGTGGCAAGAGTTTTCCCCTACTCCCATGTGCATCACCTTGCAGTCACTGACCAGGACTTTCACCTGCATTTCCTCCTTAACGTCCTGCAATCTTTTTGAAGAGCTTCATAGTCTGCTCGGTTTTGGCAGTTCTGAGTATTTTTACATGAGTAAGTCTTTTCATCTTCTGATTCGTCTTTCAAACCAGTTAATGGCACTGAAATCTTTTTGCTGTGGAAACTTCCCATTTTCCTCTTCTCCATTTGCTGTCCTGAAATTGCAGTCTGAAAGAATGTGATCATAATGTACAAAGCCAGCATGCGTATACATCAGGTACCATTCCTGTTTTCTGAATCAGACTGGCAATTAATATGTTTTTAAGGTCTTGTTAGAACATTTCTCCTCGTCTGCTTACCTTCACTTTCTTCTTTTGATGTTCTCACTTTTCCTGAGGTACAGGGTCTAGACTGTTTCTTACCTTTCACCCAAACCATTCTATGACTCTTTAACCTTTAGGAGGTTGCTCAGCCAAGAGGGGTTTTATAGGATTTGTGAGCTAATAGTGTGGCTTTCTTTGGGGTATTTTGTTTGCTACCTCTGTGCTCTTACCTGATGAGTATAATCTATTGCTGTCTGCCTTTATCCCCTCTGTATACCCTTTTTGTCTCAAGTTAGATTAGTACTTTCATGCAGGATTGTGTAAAAAAGACTAGCAGCATTCAGTGCAAGGGAACAGGTCACATGAAAGTGTGGTACATCAGTATTGTTACATTGGTTACCTGCCATTCAAACCCAAGAACTGTTAAGTGTCTGTGTTTCCTTTTAAGTATCAGAGGGGTGAAGACATATTCTACATTTCAAAATGTGGGAACTTTTTGTAAGATTAGATTGAGATGAATTTACAGGACAATAAAATGGTCTACAGCAGGCACAGTTCTATTAAATACTGCAGGCATGTAAATGTTGCTTAGCAAACCACTGAATGGTTTAACTAAGTAGTTCATGTTTCTCTTGGTCCAAAGTAATTCTCTGGTGTGAGCTGAATGCCTTTTGTAAAGGTAAAGAAGGAATTAGTGTAATGGTAGGAAAATGAAGACTGTAATTCTGAAATGCCTCTTTATTCTCCTGCCATGGGGTATCAGAAATTTTTTTTCTTTTGAACTCTTTGCTGGGAATGTGGTTCTCTTCTGTACATGAAAAGTGGTAAATGCTCCCCACCAGAGTGAATGAAGGCAAGAACCTACAATCAGTTAGGTTACAGCTACGTCTAAGTGAAAAACCACTCAAATGGAGTAAAGCAATTTGTGCCTTATACTCAACTTCACTGTAAGTTTCCCTATATTTACCTTTAATTATGCATATGCAAATCAGAAAATCAGCTCCTCAGGAAATCCCAAGGGATATATTTTCTGCTTTGTGTGATTTTAATTCTAGTTTACTTAGTTTAGGGATTTGAATAATTTGTGACTCACTTCAGCATTGCTTGAGGCCTTCTGGTCCAGTCATTGATCAGTGAAATGTACTTGTTTCTGCAGCTTATTTAACCCCTTTTTATATTTTATTTCAGAGTTGCCCGTGTCTGATCGTGGCAGTGGTGAAAACGAAACTCCCCCACCTCTCCCACCACATCCCAGTGAGGATCTGCTGAATGAGGATTATAATCATAGGTTGGACTTCGACTGTACTTACTAGTTACAGTGCTAGCTGGTCATTAGTGGTTGTGATAGTAGTTCTAATTTACTTTAAAATTGCTTTTTATTTTGTAAAATTTGTGCCACTGCTTTCAGTCACCTGAAAGATCCTTTAATATAAGCTGGGAATGTTACGTTAGCATTTAGTGCATTGTTCATTTCAGTTGTCCACAAGCTGCAGTAATGCCTGCTGTCCACAGTATATGGATCGCACCAGTGGGTGCCATGTGTAGATGAAATTACTGAAGTCTCTTAAAAGTCCTAGCCAAATGAGGCTTCTTATGCAGATTGTGGTCCAAAAATGTTATTGAAGTTACAAAATGAAGCTTTAGGAATTTTGAACATTGAAATTCGTAGGGGAAAGATTACTGGGCACTTTACCAGTTGGAAATGCATTGGGTAGATTTTTCAGATGTTTTAAGAATATCTGTTGTAAAGGCTTGTGTGCTTGATAGCAGCTACAAGCTTTAATTTCCTTCGCAAATACAGAAGTTTGGTAGTGCAGAAAAAAAGTGCAAACATGTTGAAGTTCATAGAATCACAGGATGGTTTGGGTTGGAAAGGAATTTAAGATTGTCTAGTTCCAACCCCCTGCTGTGGGCAGGGACACCTCCCAGTAGACCAGGTTGCTCAAGGCTCTGTCCAACCTAGCCTTGAACACTGCCAGCAATGGAGCATTTACCACTTCTTTGGACAGCCTGTTCCAGTCCCTCAGCACCCTCATAGTAAAGAACCCCTTCCTGCTGTCTAATCTAAATCTACCCTGTTTACGTTTAAACCCATTGCCTCTTGTCCTATTGCTACAGTCCCTGGAAGGCCCCCTTCAGATACTGGAAGGCTGCTATGAGATCTCCACGCAGGCTTCTCCAGGCTGAGCAGCCCAAATTTTCTCAGCCTGTCTTCATACAGGAGGTGCTCCAGCCCCCCGATTGTCCCTTTGCCCCTCCTCTGGAATTGCTCCAACAGCTCCATGTCCGTCTTACGCTGGGGACACCAGAACTGTATGCAGTACTCCAGGGCGGGTCTCATGAGAGCAGTTGATGACATATACTTTGTCATGATGACATAAACTTTGTGTCAACTAGCACAGGCTTCAAAGCAAAGCATCGTTTCAACCTGTCATATCCTGATGCTGAAAATTCAATCAGAGAATCATGGAATGATTTGGGTTGGAAAACAAAAAAAACTGCATACAGTTCCTTGGAATTCTTCAGAGTTTTATGGCACCTTCCTTAAGATTTCCAGCCTCTGCACTCTGCAGAAGTGGTACAAGGCTGTAAAATGCTTTATATTAGCAGATGAAGTAGAATTGAGCCAGCTACATTGGCAGTATTTTTCCAGCTTCATGTAGGATGCTATTTGGAAATGCAATGGTTAAATAGATTAGCAGGGGGTAACAAAACCAAAATCAACCAAAACCAAATAAAAAATGACAAATGGGCAGGCAGTGGTATGTTCCTCATCTTCTGCTAGATAAAATGTGAATTGTTAAAAACCAATTAAGCATTTATATTTATATTTGCATCTGTGATAAAAAGCTAGGGACTGGAGGTGTTAAGTCTCAGAAAAGAAAGTTGAGGATCAATAACTGATATTAAAATGTACGGTTGTAAGCAACTGTAGGAATAAACACATGTATGTCTCTGCATGTTTTAATTAGTTCACTTGTGTTTTGAACTGGTGCCTAAATATCTTACATGTCCTTTTTTAATTTTTTTCCTGCAGCCCTATCATGAATTCAGCAGTGCATTTAACAGATCAGCACATCAACTTCAGATCCTTGACACCAGCCAAGCAGTCCGAATCAATTAATCTGAAAGCCTCAAAAAGCATGGATCTTGGTAAGAAGGGGCGGGGTGACATACAGGTCAGCTTTTTAGTCTTATCCCATCTGCACCATCTCTGTTTCTTGCTTTTGTTTCTTAAACACAAACATCAGGGAGTAAGTTCTGCAGAGGAGCTACAGTGATGAAGACAATGGTCAGCTTTCTATAACATCTAATTGCAAATACCCTTTTTATTGAAGCTGAAGAAAGGGTTCGTTTTTTTCCTTCTCAGAGGCCGTTCTATCCTTTGTATTGAAATCTAAGCTGAAAAACGAGCTTGTAAAAATGAGCAGAAGGAATTGCTGTACGAGTTTTATATGTCTAAAAAATGTAGCAAAACAGCAATAACAAAAGCCATTTCCACGTAGCATATAAATGATTGCAAAACTACACTGGACAAAGGCTATAACTTTTATAAGACAAACTGTGTATTCATTCATAATGGCAAAAGCAGGCAATCAAAGTGTTGCAGTAGATCTTTATAAATGCTTGAAGAATGGTCAATGTTGTTCAGAAAAACTTGCAGGGTGGGTGAAGCAGAAAGTAAAGGGTTCTTTCAATACTGGGAAGGCATTTGCAGGTGGAAGATTGAAACTATTGCGGTTGAAAACAGAGTCATGTTTTGATAAGAGTTCAAGGAAAAAATCACAAAGTTCTTAAGCCTCAAAGAAAACCAAATAATCTTTTTTTTTTTTTTTTTTTCCTTTTTTTGGCACTTTTTATCTGTTTCTTTTGAATTCAATAGAGTAACTTTGAGACTTCCCATTAGGATGTCATTAATCATAGATTTGTGTGTTTTGTTGGATCAAATTTTGTACACCAGTAATAAAAAATGAATTTCATATATAGTTCTAAGGTAGGTTTTTGGTGATGCTGATTTTTCCCTGCTTCCCTGAAATGCTGTAGATTGGTCTTAGATTTTGTATTGCTGATTTCTACTGTCATCTTAATGTAATATTTAAATGTAACATAATATGTGTGTAATCTAATGAAATGTAAGAAAAGTCAAGAAGTTCTTAATGCAGGGTAAGAATGGGTAGGAACTCATTTAGGGTAGTTCTTAAGGCAGAATTTTAAAGCTGCTGCATGACCAGAGCAGATACTCATCCTTTTGCAGTTCTGTTCCATTATTTTGGCAGAGAGGAGCATATTTTTTTAAGAATGGAAATGCTCCTCGACAAGGAATGAGTTTTACAGACTTAAGTCAAAAACGTGTATTGTATGTAGTCTACTGGAAAAAATAATTTTCAACTTTATTGAGTCTTCTTTTAGAAAGATTTACCTACAGCTCTTAAAGAAGTCACTAGAAAGAATGCTCACAAGCACCAGTGTAAAATTAATCCATGGAAGTGTGCTTGAGAGCATATCCGTAACTACCAGGTAATTTGCACTTCTTTTTGTCCTGGTCTGTATTTGTTTATTTTTTGAGATTCAAGTTTGTATAAGTAATCTGCTCTTGACACTCAGAAACAATGCCTTGAGAGTGTATATGAGTCACTAAATCATAGCGGTTAAAAACTGAAATTAAATTAGGTGCAGAAACAATAAAGTAAGAATTAGGTGCAAAAATGTTTTTAAGAGCTTTCAAAAATTCTTTCTCATCGAAGGTAGCTGTTGAAAGTGCCCTTTCTGCTATGAAAATAAAAAACAAAAGGGATAATAATCAGCCTGATTGGAAGCACTGAAGTTTTATCCTTGTCATATGTACTGATGTGAAGGTAAATCTATTACCTGAGATAGTCATGTAAAAAACTGGAGGGACTGGACAAACTACAATCAGCCTGTGTTATACAAATAACAGTAGATGAAGTAGAATTGCTTGCACATAGCTTGACAAATAAAGAAACCGAGAAAGATGAAAGCTGGGACCTTTTGCAGTCATTTTCTAGTAAGCAGTGAAGTACCGTGTTCAACTTCCCACCTTCTGGCTGGAAGAGTAAAAGGAAAAGGAACATGAAAATCTTAGGTGAAGTAACTGCAATATAAAATGCTTCCAATATAAATAAAAATCCCAGTAACTTGGTATTTAAAACTGTGCTTCCAAATAGAGCATTTATGTAATGCACACTCCAAAGCGGATTTTTGGGGAAGGAAAGTTACTTCTTAGTTTGTTTTTATATTTTGCTTATTACTTAACTGCAGTCGGGACTCATAGTAATTTCACATCCCAGCGTGGAGCTGTGTATCTGTTACTGGTTTCAGTGCATTGTTTGCCACCAAAATAAGAAAAGTGCTGCTGTTTTCATCTTCCAGACCCAGAGTTGAGCTTGTCAGAAAGATTTGTTCAGAATCACAGAGGATCTATGGAGCAGATTTTGTAACAAAGAGGAGATGAACACCACCCAAAAATGCTTGTATAACTGCTAGGCCCTCTTTTTCTAGTCCTCATGGGGTGCTGTCCACTTACTTTTCTTTTGTACTTAAGTTCTGCCAGTGCCTTCCAAAATAAGTCCAACATCATGAACAGAAAAATCAAGGAATTGGAGTTCAGGAGGAGAGCTCTGAAGCCATACAAATGCAATTTAGGTGCAGTTTCTTTCCTTTTAAAACAAATTGTCTCTGAATCAGGTGTGATACAGGGCATCAGTGTGAAATCTGTACTGCTATTCACTTTACAAAACATTTTACTTTACCTTAAAATGTATATAATGCATCTATTGCCTTATTATAAGATTTGAAAGGCATGGATTGCATAATGGCATCACCATCAGAAGGATCATCAAAGGTCAGTAACAGAAAATTTTAAGCATTTAGAGACCCCAGAATCCAAACTTCTCTACAAATTGTGAACTTTATGAGTAAATAGTAAATTCATTAAATTGGAGAGCTAATAAAATTGTATTGGCTTTGATGAAGGTTAATGTAGGCACAAGAAGCAAAACTCTTAAGTAAACACTAGTCTGCAATTACATAGGTTCACAATGAAAACCTATTTAGCACTGATGTTTATCTTTTCAGATTTTATGTAATTTAGGCCCAGAAACCTTTGAGTACCTAATCTGTTTTCCAGTCATATTTATTTACAAAATAATTATTCTGAATTAATATCCTCAGTGAATAATATCAGGAAATAAGGATGGGTGATCAAAAAGTATTCAGTACTGCTTACATGTTGCATCGATTTGTCATTGTCAGTCTCCAGAGCAAATCTTGCAATGAGAGTTACTTGCCTGTAGGGCAGATATGGTTTAGTTTATTAACTCTTAGTGCATTTTAGGGTTGTTGATTGGACAGCAGGACAGGAACAATGGTCATGAACCACTGCCAACTTGTTTAGGCAGGGCTCTATGCTGCCATGCACGTGTCAGAAGTTGTATGAACTGACACAAGTTTTCACTGCTAAATTCACAAACAGCATGAATCTAGAAGTACCATTGTCTAGAGGTGGTGTATTTGAAGAATTCAGGTTATTTCAGATGAGGTATTTTTTGCTTGAATCTGCTTAAAAATAGATAAATTAAAAATCTGTGGCATGTGTGTTACTGAGTTACAATTGTAGACACCCCAAACATCAAAAAGCAAGCACAGTGGTAGTGATGATGTCCTTCTGCAAAGCATATGGTGGTAGGGTGACCAGTTCCCTGCTTTAGCATCCATGATTTCCATAGTCTCAAAGGCTTCTCAAAATTTACAGCTTCATTCAGAGTAATAGGGTACAGATTTGTTCCATATCAGCTATAAGTCCTAATGTTCTTTCCTGCTGCTGTGTTGAGATAATGACAGTGCTTTCAGGCTCACTGGTAGAGTTCATATCCTGTGTCTTACAGTATATTTCTCTTTGTCTTGCCTGCTTTTTATTTCGAACTGGTGGTGACAAAAGAGCACAGCTATCCCTTTCCTTGTGCTGATCCTGGCACCTGACACGTCCACTAAGTGACACATTATTTTTGTTACGGCCTGATGGTGTTTGAATGTGTTGGCAAAGATTGTACTGTGATTTCAAGAATTTGTGCAGGGCCAAATAAATGCTGACTTAGAATGCATGGCTGTACTGACCAAGCTTAGATTGTATGCCAAGTTTCAACTTGTGCTTATAGCATGGTGTTAGAAACAAGAAAAATTCAGAAATGCCACAATTATGTCATGTTCACCCTTCCCAGTGAAGTGGTGCACTTTTTTTTTAAACTTAATGACAGATTAAAAATGAAGAAATTGGTGTCTTCTATACATGTCATTGGAAGGATGATTTTCCATGTAACAACCTTCTATAAAGACACATTTTGCCATACATTACCACAGTTGTCTAGAGAAGAATTTCTGTATATTTCATCAGAATCCATTTTCAGTAGTTTGTTCTTTTTTTTTTAACTATTAAAAGGTAATTTTTGTGGAGAGTGAATGGCAATATGGATATTTTTTTAAATGTTGTATTGAAAGGTGAAAATCTGTGTGCTATTAAGAAAAAGAAAGGAAAAGCGGTGTTTTATTATTTATCTCCAATGCCCCTATTTTCCATAAATCTTTATGCACAGGAGTGATTTAGGCTATGCATTAATGTACTGTGAAAACCGCAGCCATGGGAATTGTATGCAAACACATGAAAGTGTGGCTTGTTTTAACCTGAAGCAATGTGAAATTGAATCGTATGAGTATATAGTAATTTTGTTGTGCATCAATTCAGGCAAAGTACTGCGTAGATTTATATTTGAGGATGTTGGTATAATAACCCATGACCTCTATCCCAAAGTACTGCTCATCTCCCATTCCCTTCCTGGTAATAGCAAAAAACCCATAGATCTTAACTGGTTAAGCTCTACAGCCTGAAGAAATTGAAATACCCTTTACTTGATTTTAGATATGCATAAAATATTATTTGCTAAAACATCATTAGACGTAGAGGCCCTTAACCTTAGGGCTTATTTATTAAAGATACTGGCCAACTTATGTATGTATTTAGGAATAATTAGCAAGTGAATATGCAAGATGTAAGGTATGAAGTATTCTGCAGGGAAGCCAGTATTTAACTAATTTCTTTGTTAGCGAAGGGATGCATTTGCTTACAGTTTATACTTCTA